AGCCCTTGCAATAGAGAAATATTTGTGTGCCATTTGTTAGTCATCTTTGCAGAAGTATGACTGAGATGGCCAGCATAAGTGGAAAGGGTTCTTTCTGCTCAAAGCCTTCTATTCCATGGCCAGCTAGACCTCCAGGTTCCAGAAATACAGATAGGTAAAGTCATGGCAAAAGTGTGCGGCAGAGGAGGTCCATTCACAGCCCCCGTAGCCTAAGACTTCCCATTAGATCCCACTAACGTTTCTCCCAAACATTCCACTACGTCCCAAGAGTGTTATAGGCTGGGGCTGGACATTTACCCAATTCATGACAGCACAAATATAGTATGAGATTTGTATCAAAATTATATAAGGAACTCAACTCAATTGCAAAAGAAATAGCCTTGCCTTAAAATAAGCAACAGATCGAACAAACATTTCTCAAAAGAAGACATGCAGATATACAAATAAATAAATTTTACTATCACTTAATTGCCATGGTTAATCTTGATTATCAAGTTGACTGAGTCTGGAGTCAACTAGGAGATCAACCACTAGACATAAATGTGGGTGATTTTCTTGATCAGGGAAGACCAAACCTAAATAAAATACCCTGCTTCTGCTATCCCCCTTTGCTGGCATCAGAACCAGCTTCTTTGGTTCCCAGACCATACTGAAGACCCGTGGCTTTCCAGGAGTCCTCCAGGCTTTCAATATGCTACCTTTTGGTAGCAGCCAGACAGAAGGAGGTTCAAGGGGGAAACCTTTGCGTTTTGCCTGCTTGCCTTCACATCTTGCTCTCAAGTTCATTAACCTGCTGTGAGCTCATGCTCCTCCTGCTGCTGCTATACCTCTTTGCTGGTATCAGAAGCCAGCTTCTTTGGGTTCCCAGTCCATACTGAATACCAGTGGCTCTCCAGGAATCCTCAAAGCCTTCAATACTGGGTTGGAACCACTAAGACATCACCTTCATGCACTGAGATACCAAGCGTGAAGACAGCCACTGTGGGACTACCCAGACTGTATCATCAACCTAAAAATATCCTTTTTATACATTTATCCTATCAGATCTGTTCCTCTAGAGAGCCCTGACTAATACCCTAATCACCATGGCCATACCAGTACAAACCATAATGTAACTTTATAATTCACCTTTTAGAATGGTTATTGTCATAATGAGTTAAGGACAAGTGCTGGGCAGGAAATAAAACACAGAGAACACTTGTCCACTCTTGGTGGGGATTATGTTTTCCACAGTATGAAGGTTCCTCGTAAGAAATGGGACTACTGAGTGATATGTAATCCCACTTCTGGGTAGAGAGCTCAAGGAAATGAAGTCGGTGTGTTGAAGAGGCATTGTCACTCTCATACTTATGGGCCTACTCGAAACAGCCAAGATACAGAACAAACCAACTGACCACTGACAGTTAAGTGGGGTTTAAGATGTGATGATAATGCAAACTCAATAGACTATTACTCACCTCTAAAAATCAAAACATCTACTACACTGTGAGTACACCTGAAGGACACTGTGCTAAGTGGAGTGAGACAGACACAGTGAAGGACAGATGTCCCACAAGTTTACACACGGGGTCTGAGAAGTCAGACTCATAGAAGCAAGAGAACAACGGTGGTGGTCAGTCCAAGAGCAGGGAAATTGGGAGACGTCAGCCAAAGAGTTAAGGGAGTCAGCAACAAGAGTAAGTACTAATGAAGAAGTGAATCTAGATCTTTCACTCTGAAGGAAAAAAATCAGACCAAAATAAATCAAGAGTTAATCAGTGTCCACTGTACTACACGGTGAGTAAGTGTTGCTGGATTATGTACTTGATGTGTGCTAAAATGGTAGATCTTTAATGCTCTTACCACAAGAAAGTATATGAAGTCGTGTGTGTCTGTGTGTGTGTGTGTGTGAGAGAGAGAGAGAGAGAGAGGTCGCCATATGGCAGTGTATATTATCATTTTAGGTGTCAAATGCATCTCAGTATAGCTAGGGAAAGCAGGAAATCCACATTAGTGTCTCCGTAGAGCATCCCGGGATGTAGAAGTCTGCACGGACATTGAGAGCTGAGAGCGCAGCGCGGGAGTGGGAGGCCAGCGGCAGAGATGTGGAGAATCTCTTCCCATTGTTTGCCTGTTGGATGCTTGTAAATGTGCTACCTGTCGGCTTGTAGCCGTTAAAATTAAATAAACAGAAACCCTTCCCCCAGAGAATTGTAGTCCAACACAGACTGTAGTTGATCGTGCAACCTAGGGGAGAGCAACAGTTTCACTGTTCTAAAACATGCACAAGTGCATTCTATGACCGTAATACATGCTAATACTATTTGGCTTTAGGGAAAAAAGGGTGCCTAGGATAGGGCCAAGCTGCCAAGAAGCACAACCTGAGGCAAGAGAGCTCAGAGATATCACAGCAGGGGCCATGAGGCCATGAAATTTCTACTGAATACAGAATACTTAATATACTACTTCATTTGGATTTTTTTTTTGAGACAGGATCTCACAATGTGGCTCAGGGTGACCTTGAACTCACGTTGTAACCCAGGCAGACCTCAAACTTGCAATTCTCCAGCCTCAGCCTCCCAAGTACTAGGATTAGGCCCAGCTATGTCTGAGCATTTTGTGCATTTTAGATATTTTTAATTAATGTTTTATTTGGGAGTTCCATATATGTACACAATATATTTTGGTCATACTTCCTCCCCATTACTTCTCCTGGATACTCTTCCTACCAACCATCCCTCCCACACTTGATTCTTGAGATACATTCTCTCACTGAACATAGAGCTGCCTGATTCACCTAGACTGGCCTGCAGCCCCAGGAATCTTCTGCCTCTGCCTCCCCAGCACTGGGGTTACAGATGCACAGTGCCACTCCAGGCTTTCTACATGGGTTCTGGGGATCATGCTTAGATCCTCAGGCTTGTGAAGCAAGCCCCTCCCGAGGAAGCCATCTCACCAGCACGGACCCCTGGAACCAAGCACACTTAGGTCTTTCTGGCAACCTCCTAGTCTTCCTTTTCCTCCATCCGCCTGCTCTCAATCTTATTTTTTAAAGAAGAGGTGGTCTAGTAACCAAAACACCTCAGATTTTTATGTGACTCAAGGGAAGCCAGACTAGTGCATGAGTAAGCACAAAGGAAACGATCCAGCCACGTTCACTCACACCCCAGTTAGGTCAAGATGGTCACAAGTGATTCAACACAGGATACCCAGTTCATATGCTGCCAGTTTCCCTCCTGTTTGTTCTAACTCTCTCCAACTTAACCCACCCTTGAACTGACACTATCCGTGGTCCTTTGACCTCACCCCTGCCCCAACTCAGTCGCAGCCAGCATAGAGTTCACACAGAGCATAACACAGATGACAGCAGGCTTCTGAGGAGATAACAGGCCTCTGTCCGCTGAACACCACAGAAAATTCTCTCCTCTCCACAAAGGAAATGACAGCCTTTACTGCTTTTCCTCAGTCTACTATACACACCTCTCATCACTAAACTTTCCCACATCTAGGGCACATCCTGTCCTATGGAATATTTCTCAATCTTGCCTCTCAGAGCCAAGAACTCTTCTCACCCCTGCCTCTCCATGCCTCCCCAGGCCCAGCATCCTCTCAGCTATAGGTAGGCAGGGCCCAGGTAAACAAAGACAGTGGTTTCCTCACACAGGACAGTTCCACTTCCATGACCTGTGCCCACTGACACCCCCTTCACAGGGCCCAAGCTTCCTCAGACCCACCTCTAGGCTCCTAAAGGCCTCCCACCCAGGCAAGAGAGCTATGTAAGGTCAATGTCTTAGACCCAGTTCACTCCAGGTTTTACACTCTGTCCTCTCTCTGTCAGCAGGACCACAAAGCACCCTGGATTTATCTAGAGGCAGCAATGATGTTTAGCCACCTTTTGTGTTGATATTGCAATGTTTAAGTTTCCACATGTGTCCAAGAGCTAAGAACCCAATGGGAGTCAGGAAATGCATACACAGGAACACATCTGTTCTCCCCTACCACCCTCAAGTTACCCCTTTTCTGGGGACCACCCAGTCTACACTAGGACCCTAGGCATATGATGCTGTTAAGACTGAATTTCAGTTAAGACTGAAACTATCATCTTCTTCTATCTGCTGAGAGGCAGTTTCCTGAGCTCTTTCTATTTTCTTCTAAATTCTGCAATCTCAAGTATCCCCACTCTTTGGAAAAGACAAAGACTCTACAGCCTAGAAGCAGGAACATGCCTGTCCTGGAATGGTGGTCACATCCCAAGCAGAGGGCAGGATGACACTCAAGAGCAGCACTTGGAGGACAGCATAAGTGTAGCCAGCTCAAGAGCAAAAGCTATCTCCCTGACCCTTGTCCACCCACCTGCCCACCAACACCTACTGTCCAAGTGCCACCAACTTTCATTCGATAAGCCCACACACCTGCATAACTCAAAATCTTTTAGAAAGAAGTGAAATGCTGTTCTCCACTGGACTGCCATACAAGATCACACTTAGCGTTGGCCAAGACTCAAAAAGTTGCTAAGAATTCCCTCCCCTCCCAACCACTTCACACCAATTGGAGTCCTTGAGAGAGAGCATCCTCATGAATATTCAAAGCATCAAAGCTGAAAAACACACAAACATATACTCTACCTGTGATTTATATATCTGTGAGAGACAGTCATCCTTAGAAAGCAAAACTATCTACCCTAAAATACTCACTGGCACCATCTCTTTACTTTCCCAGAAGGAATAAGACTCGGGTTCATGCCTCCGTGGAAAAGGAAAGGAACACAGTAAAAAGTGGAATGCCATCCCGAGTCACGAGTCACGAGGTAAGCCATGCTCACTCACTCTGACCCTCTCAGGCAGCACTCACTAGAAGACCAGCCAACAAATCATTTGTAGCAGGCTCAGGCTCCATGTTTGGTTCCACGCTTCTCAAGACCGTGCGAAGAGCTGGCTCCTGTGACTTGCACCTGCCAGGCCAAGATCCTGGAGGGAGCTGGGTGGCCCAGGAACGACCTGCATCTCTCGAAGGTTACATACCTCAGGAGGTTGAAGCTCAAGTCAAGCCTTTTTGCAAAATGTCCACAGTCCCGGCCCAGGTGTTCTGGAATTTCTCTGCAGTTCTGGCCTATGTAGGACACCTGCAAATTAAATGGAACAAAAATGGAAATTACCCAGTTGCTCACAAGTCAGAATCACTGATCCCACCATTGCTTCCTCAACTTTAACGGCCGGCCCCTCCACACGAAAAGGCTACACTGTGCCTATTTCTCCAAGCATTTTTTTTTTGGGGGGGGGTCTGCCAACAGCTCTCCTTTTCTGTCACAGTTAGCTTGGTGGGGGACATATTATGGCACAATTACATTAAAATTGCAGAAAGAAGCCCAGTGTGAGAGTGTGTGGACATAACTACAACTATCAGCCACCCTTCCTAGCTGCCCATCTGGCTCTCCTTCTCCCTCTCCCAACCACACCATAATATACCCATCCTCACAGAAGACAGGGCAGATGCTCTACCAAACATGCCTCAACATTTTCTCCAACTTCAGAAGCAATCCCTATAACCACCGTGAAAAGCGTTTCTTCCACCTTCTGACCCTGCCACAAAATCTAATCTACAAAGCGCATGCTCAACTCTGCAATCAGTTACTTTAAAAACAAACTCACAACACACTTAAACTGAGCTCATAATTTTAAGTTGGTGTGCATTCATAGCAGCCCTCGGGGCACAAGTTGGACATGCCCACGTCTATACCTTTGAACCTCAAGGTGCTATAACAAGCAGGGCTGGGCAGGGAAATCTCCCAGACCATCAACCCCATCCTGTAAAATGCCCACTGGACTCCCTACAAAGTGGTGGCAAGGCAAAAGGTGGCATGTGGCAAAGGGTGACATGTAGCCAGAGTTCCTAAGGTTCTTCTGGCAGGACACCATTGGTTTGTTTAATGTGAGTGAATGTTTATCCTGCATGTGTATTTGTGTACCAAATATGTGCCTAGAGCCTAACGAGGTCAGAAGAGAGTGTCATTACCCTGGAACTGGAGTTATGGATGGCCATCAGCCTCCCTGTGGTGCTAGGAACTGAACCCGGTCTTCTGCAAGAGCAGTGAGCACTCTTTGCTGCCAAGTAATCTCTCCATCTTCCTTTTTGTTTTAAATTTTTAATTAATCTTTTGAGAATTTCATACAATTGTATTTTATCATATCCACCCCAGCTCCTCCCAGGTGTCCCCCAGTTCCTGCTCCTCAGACTCTCATTTTTAATAACCCACTGACTCTATGTTGACCACTCCTACGTGTGGAACACCACACCGGAGCCTTAATGAAAACTGACACTCTCTCCCCAGAAGCCGTCAACTACCTATCACGTGTCAGCTAAGGATGCCGCTTCCTGAGCCCCCCACTCCATGACGGAATGTTGGCCAACTTGATCTTGTTCATGTCGTGTGAGGGTGACCACAGCTGCTGCAAGTTCGTGAACAGGATGGTCCTATCTTGTCCAGAAAACACTGCTTCACTCCAGTCCTCCCCTCTTTAGCTCTTACACTCTTCCTAACCCCACTTCCCTGATGGTGCCTGATGGTGGGGAATGGTGAAGGGGGAAGAAGGATGGAGATGTCCCATTTTAGTCCTCCACTGACTGCTGTTCTCTGCACATTGAACAGCTATGAGTTTCCTCATTAACTGCCTTCAACTCTGCAGAGAAACTTGTCTGATAGCATCTAAGAGTTGCACTGCCCGATGTGTGCAGAGATGGCAATTTGACATTATGACCATTTAGCAGAATAGTAGCAGGCCCATCTGTGGAGCTCACACCAGCCTTGGATTCTCGGCCAGATTTACACGTCCAGGCATGAGTTCTCGCCTGTGGAGCAGGCCTTAAATGCGGTGCCTGTGTACCCCCTAACATTCATGGCATCATGTACCTATGGACCACATCTTGCCATTCTGCTCATTACCGTACTATATAGAGAGTTCACAGCAGGGCAAGACTATACTGATGGCTTTTTCCCCAGCAAACAAAAAGTACCCTCTGTCCAGAAAGCTTTTTGTAAGCCTTTGTCTCTTTATTTTAATATTATTTTATGTAATTGTTTAAGCAGCTCATGCATATTTCCAAATATTAAAAAGCCTAAAAAAAACTTAATCCTAGAACTTTTGAGAATACTTCTCTCCAAACTAACCACCCAGGTTGCTATCTGCTTTTACAGATAGCAGGCAGCAGGCAGAAAAGCATGACCAAAGGCACACAGACAGAAAACATTGCCGAACTACGCTGCTTTCAAATCCCAGGTAGACACTTGAGCCCTTGATGTGGTTATAACACTGCTCCTGTGGGGAGGGATTTTAATTCAGAACATGGCTGCTCTGGCAAGAGATCGTATCCAAAGATCTTCTAAAACTGTGCGATCTAGCTGGAATACAAACAGGCCTTTAATCCAGGAGACAGAGGCAGGCAGATTGGAGTTCAAGGCCAGCCTGGTATAGAGCAAGTTTCAGATAAAGAAAAGCTTAGGTCCAGGTATGGTAATATATGCCTTTAATCCCAAACAATGAAGGTAAATAAAGTTAGTTTGTAGAAGGAAGCACCCATGTTTGAAAATGATATCTAATTAAATGGCAGAAACAGTGACAAATCAGAGAAAGACTTGACAGGATAGGATACACCCGACTCTCACAAGAAGGAAAAGGGATGCAACTTAATAGGCAATGCAGAGAGAGAAGAGTAAGTTTTACCAGGACAATAATAAAGAAAGAGGGTGCAGAGAAAGAACAAGTTAGACACAGGTGAAGGAAAAATGAGTCAGAGAATGAGAAGGAGCCAGATTATACAAGACTGCTAAAGTTAGTTTAAGGCCAAGCAGAGCAATTCAGAGGCTGAAAGAAAAGCCAGACTGAATAAATTAACTAGGAAAGAGGTTTGAGTCAGAACAGCTGAGTTGAACCAGGTAGCTTTGAGCTCACAACGAACAAGAAAGAGTGATCTTACGAAGCAGTAATTCTCAAAGGCTGAAAACATTCTAGGCCTAGGCCAGATTGTATGGAGGCTGAAAGCTTCCAGGATTAGGCCTAGGTTAGAAGATGGAGCTAGATCAACTTCTGAGACAACAATTACCTCAAGAGAATAAAAGTTCATTTTACAATCCTGTCTCCCTACAAACCTTTGCAGACAGATAAATGTGTCTTGGGATGACCAACAGATCCCCAGAGCACTATGTCTCTTAAAAGGAAAAAATGTGGTGGTCACATCCTCAGATATTAGTCTGAGCCTTATGAATGGCAGATAATCAGAGCAGAATGTTCATTCATCTGAGGTCACAAGCACCCCATCACCCCTTTTTTAAGCCATTGCTCACTCCTCCTACCGATTACAAACCGTTGGCAACACAAAGTCTCGTATTTTCTCTTCCCATTCGCTCTCCTGCAGTAACTTCATTCCAGGAAGAGAAAAAGTGAGAGAAGGGACAGGAAAAAAAATAGCTAACTACTGAGTGGTGATGATAGTCCCAGCACTTGGGAACCAAAGCAGTTGCCTGGGCAACTTAGTATGTTCAAAGCCAGGCTGAGTGGCACAGTCAGACCTGGTTACTACACCTCTAAAGAAAAAAATAGATGACCTCAACAAAATTCTATGTTTTCATTTTTAACAGGTGTTTATTCTCTCTCTCTCTCTCTCTCTCTCTCTCTCTCTCTCTCTCTCTTGTGCATGTGTGTACATGTGTGCACCATGGCACACACTTGGTAACAAAGGTAACTTGAAGTTTTCTTCTTCCACCATGCAGGTCCCCAGAATCAATTTACCCACTGAAGCATCTTAACGGCCCAACAAAACAATAGCCAGTCAGTCTCTCTCTCTCTCTCTCTCTCTCTCTCTCTCTCTCTCTCTCAGCATTTAGAGTAAATAAGAAAGTTCTACTTCCATGCTGAGATGGAAATCGTACCCAGGAGAGACTGAGGTCCCAGTGGACACTGGGGCTTGGTTTCAACCTGTATCTTGTTCTGTAAGTTCTCATTAACCCTCCAGGCCCATGGGGCTCCCTCACACACCCACCATGTGCCACCACTATTTTGCACCATCAACACATAAGATTGCTGTGACATCCAAAGCAGGGAAGCTTAGCCTTAGAAAGAGACCTGAGCCCTGTCCGCACAGACTAGGCAACAGATCTAGCTTGTCAAATCTTAACTTCCACACAGGAAAGAACTCCACAGCCCTGTCAACGTAGTATAGATTGCTAGTGATGCAGCCTGGGTAAGTTCTGAGTTGTGAGGAAGGACTTCCCCGAGTAGGGACCACAGAGGGCCTTTCATGCCCATGCAGGTGTGGGTGCTTTTGAGTAATAAATGCTGATGGTCTCCAACCCAGTATTCCTGTCAGGGAGTTGCTTCTGTTGGGACACCAGGAAACTTCTTACTACTGCTGCAGATATAAACAGAGTTTTGTTTTAAACCAGGTATAGGATGTGAGACGGATTCAGAGGGTCCACAGCAGCAAACGATTTGTCTCCTGTGGGCTCTGAGAGAAGCTCTTTGTCATCTGAAGATAGTTTAAATGTGAGGACTCTCAAGAGTGTGAGGAGCTCTGAGAAAGAACAAGGCTGCTGCTGCTTCCCCCCTTCGGCTCCTGTTGCTGTTGACGCAGTGAGACAAGAAGTTGGAGATCTCCTGAAATGAGGGTGGCTCCAAGGAACCTGACAACCCTAACCAGCAGGAAGCAGCTCAGACAACTGTGCCCCCTCTCCCACAAACCCTTTCTCCCTCCTACCTGGTGTTGGGGTGTTGGAAGGGAATGAAGTGGAGGAGGGAGATATATAAAAAATAAATAAGAGTTATTTAAAAGTATGCCAACATACTACAATTTGTTCTCACCCTCCAGAGGTGGAGACCTAGGCTTCAAGATTTAGCATGTGAGTGGATTTGGTAAGCCACACAGCGTTTTCAGCCCTAGGTAAGCTGGCAGCTTTCAGCCATGTCAGTTAGTCTCACCAGGCTGGAGGGCTCAAGCCGCTGGCAAGGTTTGAGCAGGAGCAGCCACCACAGAGTGCAGCAATCAGTAACGACCAGAGAAATTTGGTGAGGACATGCTTCTGGAGGGAGATTCCTTGTGACAGCAGGCAGCTTCTGACTGGAGTGGCCCAGACGGCCTGAAGGGCCAGGCCAGAACAGTCCCGTCTTCAGCAGATAGGGACAATGGATGAAACTATGAATGGCCCTTAAGTGGCATTTGAGTCAGAACATCAACCCAAGAAGTCATTTCATCTGATCGACTACTTTGTTTAGACTAAATTTAAGGACGAATTTTTGAGCTTTTAACTTTCCTACCTTACTATTTAGGAAGAAACATCATTACCAGGCAAATGAAAATTTATCGTTAAGTTGGAGCTGTGGCTCAGGTGGCAGAGTGCTTGCCTCATATGCATGGGTTCAATCACAAGCCCTGCACACACTGGGCATGGTAGTACCTGTAATCCCAGCACTTGGCAGGTAGAGGAGGCAAGATACTGGAAGTTTAAGATCATCCTCAGCTACATGGTAAATCTGAGGATAGCATGGGCTACATGAGTGCCTGTCTGAGAAAGGAAAAAGAAAACAATGGAGAAGGGGAACAGGAAAGTGGAAAGGAAAGGAGGAAGAGCAGGGAAAGGGGAAATGCAAAATGAAAGGACAAGGAGAGAGGAGAAAGGTGAAAGGAATAGAAGAGGGACAGGGGAGGAGAGCAGAGAAGAAGGGAGAAAAAATATAAAGTCAAAGAGCCATCCAAAGAGAAGCCAGGGGAAGAAGTGTGAATGTGTAAGCAGATCCCCAACCCAGGCACATACTCAGTCCCTGTGAGCAGGCACTGCAGAAGAGGGCCAAAGCCCATGCAGCCACAAATGTCTGTCAACCATCGGGACAGTTGCTTCTAGGGTCTTTCTGAACATGTTGTCAGTCACCAGAAAGGGCGGATTATCCAGAAACCCCCTCTAATACCAGGTGGGCACTGGCCAGCAGCTCTGCCCCAGTGGGCGTCCTCTGGGTCCACTTCTGAGCACCAGTGTTGTATCTGGCTCTTTCCTTGGAGAAGTCGCCATGTCCTGAAACCTGTTTACTGTTTTGTTCGTTTAGAGAACCACATGTATGTCAGGATGGCCTAGAGTCCACTATGTAGCCAAGGATAACCTCCAGCTTCTGCTCCTCCTGCCTGGGTTATGCTGAGGTCAAACCCAGGGCCTTGTGCACACTAGGCTGGCACTCTGCCAACTGAGTGCCTCCCGGCCTCTGCTTCCCCTTTCTTGAACTACTCAAGGACTGTCATCAGCTACCACCAAAAACAGTTACAATAGCGCAATAACATTTAATAAGTGCCAGCCAAGTGCCCAGTTATCTGTTGCATCTCCAGGAAACAACAGCCTTTGGGATCAGGAAGTCTCTTCCCCATTGTACTTATATAACAGGAATAAAATGACATATGAAAAGCACTGTCTCTGTTGTGCAGAAGTCACCCAATCAATAGCTGCTGTTTCAGACCAATAACCCCATGGAGGGTATTGGTTGTTTTCATTATCTCTTAAGCCTAAGATTTCAGTGCCCAAATTTCAAGTTTGCATTCATGTCTGTAATTGTATCCATGCCACAAACTGTAGCTGTCATACCCTGATGGAAAAGGGAAGATGTAATGCTGAATATAAATGAAGCATTCAAGCCAAGAAAACCCAAATGAGGTCAGGCCTATGATGAATAAGAAGATTTTACAGAAAGAAGTGATGGGGCAGCATCAAGCGCCCCCAGCCATCAGCCATCAGCCCGTGGTGGCGCAAGAAGCAGCAGCGCAGCTTCAAACAGTTATCACCAACCATTCCTCTACATTGATTTTAATTTTTATCGAATTCTTTCCCTCGCACTTAAACCATCCCTTTATTTAGGATGAATGTTCTCTAAATACTGAAAAAGTTGCATCCAATTTTATACTTAGCTATTTCAGTTACATTATAATGCAAATGATAATCAAGCCCTTGGGCTCCCCCCCCCCCTTTAGGAAGAATCAGGGTGGACTGAGCTAGAGAAATGGCTCAGCAGTTAAGAATACTCACTGTTCTCCCAGAGGACCCACGTTCTGTTCCCAGCACCCATGGCTGGTGGCTCACAACTGCCTGTAATTCCAACTCCAGGAGACCTGTCTTAGTCCGCCTTATACTGCTGTGCTAAAACCACTAGCCAAAAGCAACGGATAGAGGAAAGGGGTTATTTGGATTGCATATGCCAGGCCACAGTCCACTGAGGAAAGGCAAGGCAAGAACTTGAGGGAGGAGCTGAGACCAAGGAGGAACTCTTAGCTATTGCCTTGCCTGCAGGCCAGGCTGCTGCGGAGTTTCTCAGCTGAGGGTCCCCTTCTCAGAGGACGCTAGCTTGTGTCAGGTTGACAAAAACCTAACCAACAAATATACGATGCACTCTCTGGCTTTCTTGGGTGCCCACACACACTAGTTACACAGACACACAATTGCACACAAATAAAAATGAAATTTTAAAGTTATTTGTGTGTGTGTGAAAGAGAGAGAGCATGTGAGGTCAAAGCAAAACTTATGCGAGTAGGTTCTCTCTGGGATTTTTTGTTTTGTTTTGTTTTTTGTTTTTGTTTTTGTTTTTTAAGGCAGGGTTTCTCTGTAACAGCCCTGGATGTCTTGGAACTCACTCTGTAGACCAGGCCGGCCTGGAACTCACAGAGAGCTGCCTCTGACAGGGGGTCCTGTTATAAATTGAGTGGAGCAGACGCTGCAAACACTCCAGCCCCAGAGCCAGGCACTCACATTCACCATCCAGATGGTGTAGCAGGGGAGAGAGTAACACCCAGGGTACAGCCCCAGCCTTCCTAGCTCCTCCCCAGTAGTTGATCTTGATCTACTGGGCAGGACCCAAAATGTCTTACCCACAAGTCAGCAGATGGCCCTGAGCCCTGTGAGCTCCACTGGCGGTACAGGAAACATCAAGTCTTGAAGAGGACAAGATAAGAGAAAGGAAGTCTTGTGAAGTTTCAGTGCCACTGTCAAGTTCTCCCGGAACTTGGAAGACACTACACACAGAGAGTGCTGGGACTGGAAATGCAGAAGGAAACCCTGCTTTTTAGGCAGATACACAAAGGGCAGGCCCCCTCCCCACACACACCCCTCTTTCTAGGCAGTCAGACTCACTCCCAGAAGCCCCCTTCCCTGGCTCAGAATAAGATCCTCATTTTAGGCTTCGACGTGAGCTGACATCAGCCTGGAAGCTCTGAACTCTGGATATGTGCCTGTCTAAGGCTCCAGGCACAGCCAGCAATCCTAGGAGACAGAACTGTCAATAGGGGCAGCAGAGAGATGGTAATTAAGCTCATTTCCATTAATACCTGCAGGGTGCCTGATATATAGTAGTCACTCAATAGATACAGTCAACTGAGAAAAGTACCAACCACCTTTAAAAAAAAAAAAAAAAAGGCAGCATTTTAGTAGGAATGCAGGCAGCATGCCTTATGTTTCCGATTTGTAAAATTCTTAGGCCTCTGATGCTAGGTGCCCAAAAGGGAGAACATTCAAAACTCGAAACTGTTTCCCTGGGGTAGAGAAGATCGTTGCCAACAGAGAGAGCTGGCTTCCTGAGAGGGAGAGGCAAAGCTTCATTTTTTGGCAGATGCGGGGGGGGGGGGGGGCTGCTCAGCCTAGTGGAGTTTTCACCAAACACCAGAGACCTTACTGTTACTACAGGGCCGAAAGCAGGGCCGCTCGGTGTCTACCATCCAGCGTTGCCATGCCCTAGTGACCCCTGTTCAAGAAACCAGAGACCAAGTAAGACTCTGGAGGACCCTGGGCCTCCGCCTGCCTTGGAAAAGAAGACCCCTCTGCAGGCAGAGCTCCGCCAGCACCAGGCCAGAGAACACGTTGTTTTCCAGTGTGGCTTGGCGACCCTGTGCTCTGTGCTGTCGTGGGCCAGCTTCCTCCGTGTAAATGCATCAGACCATTTCTTTGCTCAGTTGCCCTGGTATCACACAGCTGCGTGTTAAAACATTCTTACACGCCAAAAGTTCTTTTAAAACCAGGATTGTGAAAGAAGAAAACACTTTTGGAGAACCCTGAAAAATATGAGCACCAGCATTAGGACTCATGAAGAAGTTAGTCCCCAAATGTTGCTCAGTGTGACCCTAGAGGCAGAGAGGAGGGATCTGGGCTGCTTACCACGTTTCTAGGGAGTGTGTCAGGGTCAAAAGAAGGGTCTGGCCTCTTCAACCTGGAGCAGGGGCGGGCACTTCGCATAGACCACCTGCTCATGTGACCTCCCAGGGCAAAGGCGCTCATGCTCCGCTGTCCCTGCCAACCCAGCTGGGCCCGGGGACTAGATGGGGCTCGCCTGGACCGACTTACTTGAGTTCCACTGACCACGAACCCAGCCATGGTGGCGGGCCGGCTGGCAGGCTGCACTGAGCGCGGCGGCCGGCTGGCGGTGCGGTTCCGCACTGGGCGGTCAGCTGACCGGCAGAAGCCCTAGGCGCCGCGGCCGCCTCGAGAACTGCGCGCGGCTGCGCTTCTCGCTTGGCTGGACGCGAACCTCGCCGCCGGGCAGCTCGCAACAGGTAGCTGCTGCACCGTGGTATCCAACGTGGGAAACCCACGCGACCACTCCTCTTTCCTGCCAGGTTCCTGCTGGGTTCCTCTGTACCCCTGTACCCCAAGAGGTCCCCCTCCCGAATCCAATGCCCAGAACTTTATTTCATTCATCGGACTCAGGCTTCGGGGTGAAGGTGGTTCCCATCATGAGAGTGCCATCAGAGCCGTTACTTCCCGGCTCAGAACTGGGCCTTCCCGGAGTTTCACAACCTAGGTTACATAACTGCCCTCAACTGCTGGAAGGAGGAGCCTCTTCACCCAAAGTCCCCACCGCAGCTTAGAAGTTGCCAGGGGAAGGGGAAAGAGGCTCCTGGTGGGATGCAGTTTTCGTTTGTTAGAGGGAAGGCAAGGGAAAGTTGAATTTTCCCTTAAAGTGCCAGCCTGCCAGAAAACCCTTACTCCACATGCCCTCAGGATGCCCACCCCCACAACCCCAGCAGTTGACAGTAATGAACCTTGGGACTGGAATATTGATAATGTCTCCAAATCTCAGGCTCCTCCTCCTCCTCCTCCTCCTCCTCCTCCTCCTCCTCCTCC